TCTGGGAAATCCTTCTACTACAACCTTTACATATACAAAGTCTATGATTAAGTTGAATTTTATGGACATTGAAAGACCAGGGGGGTCTCACCCTCATTTAAGCGGTCTCAGGTAGGTTTTCACTATATTTCTTTTTTGGGCTCTCCATAAATATTTCTATTTATATTTCTAAAAGTTTCTAGAGTTATAGGTTTTTCCTTTTGTGTTAAGAAATATCATATATAAAAGTACATATTTGAAGTTGTTTTATTGATAAAAATCTATATTACATAAAGACAAATATGCAACTTAGAAAAGGGTTTATATTCGAGCACAACGAGAATTTACGACAGCTTGAAGAGGTCATTAATTTCCTACGTGTCTTATCAGTCCTCTTAACTATGAAAATCGTGCTTTTAATGTTATCAAGTATCTAATTTTTTTTATGATTTTTCAACTAAATTTTGAATATCCAACCGACTGCTAGCAGCCGGTTGGATATTGAATATCGAATATCGAATAACGAACCGGCTGCTAACTTCACATACATGTTTAAAAGTGAATAAAAGAAACCGATCATCGGCCTTAACAATTTGTTGGTTTTGCAATATTGTAATTTGCCTTTATTTACATTAACTTCGATTTTGATTGGTCAAAAGTCACACAGTTAGACATTCAAAACTCAATATAATCTGAAAATTGATGTTGTTTACAATCAGTTAAACCCATTTCACCATCCCTGCCAGATACAAATAAACATACCCTCGATGAAAAGACTGTGAGCATTGAGAATTATTTTCAAACTTTGTTGCAAATCATAATTTTCCTTAGTAATTGGGATATGTTGTCACAAATATGTAACCAATACTGTATATGTATCAAGCTATGTCTGCCAATCCAAAACAATGAAATATAATAACAGTTAAAAAATTGAAAATACTTAATTAATTGTACTTATTATTTATAACAAAATTCAATTGGATTATTTCCAGAGAAAACAAAGCACGAAAGGCATTTTTACACGCATTTGGCATGTCATTGCATAATAATTTTTATTTCCAGAGATTAGTTACTATGCTGACGAACTTTTCGGCTACATCAAAAATAATAAAATTACAATAGTAATAGTACAAAATTACAATTCTATTGCTACTAACCGTTCCAAACTCCATTGCATTATTTTTCTATTTGTGAGGATCATATATTCGTCTAAGTCTCAGTCTTTAGATAATGAGACAGTAAAGTTATTTGCGAGGATCATATATTCATCTAGGTTTAAGTCTTTGATAATGCAACAGGATTGATCAAGTTTAGTACAGTTTAATAACATTTTTTTTACAAAACATATATAATTTTATTCCCTAAAATAGAAATATCAAAAAATACTTCATACCCACCTTCATGACCTTGTCTTTAAACATGATAGTAACAATAATGTAGTATTAAAGTTTATTATTTCATAATGAAAAGCACACTATAAAAGGTATGTAAAAATCTCTTCCTTCCAAATGTTTACCTAACAAGAAAAAACGCATTAATTTACATACTGCTAGAATAGAACTAGCACCGTCTGGTTGTAAATAAAACAAATAAGTGTCATTCTGTCACCAGGTACATTCAACATTGGTTGAATTAATTCGAAATTATTGTAAAAAGTGTATCATGTGGTAAAGATGCATCTCATCCCTTTCTACAATTCTACAGACAGCATTATGATTCTGCTACATAATTTATGTGCCACGTGGGACAACTGACATGTCCAATAGCCACAATTCGTCCACTTTTGTCTATTGTCACACCGTCGAATATGAATTAAACCCATGAGTTACATTACAGGTAGGAACTGTGTATCCTTCCGTAGCATCTTATGTTTAGTTCGAACCCGTAATTCGGATGAAGCTATTTTAAAACCTTTTTTGGTACGTTCTCCCCTCCCACTTTGATTGATTAAAACGACCAAGACACATTAAGGAGACAAAAAAAAAAAAAAAAAAAACAGAATGGTAAAGTGCAGAACCAAACCTAAATGGTAAGGTGAAGAACCAAACCAAACCTAAAAATGTGGGATCGAGATTGGTCCATAGTAAAAAGATACGAGAAAATCATTTCGGGGATGAAAGAATAATGCACAGAAGACGGAATATACCGCTTAGCCATGAGGTCTACTGTTAAAGTCATAACCTAAATGAACAAAAATGATAGTGATAAACAAAATGATTTAGTTTCAAATGAAGCACCCCCCCTCCCCCCCCCCCCCCCCACTAGAAATAAAAAACCAAAACCTATACATTAAAAATATACTGGTATGTAATATTTGAATTTTTGTTTGTTTGGAGAATTGTGTTCAAATCTTTAATTTTGTCTGGTTATATCATTTACAATTTTTATGTTTTCCTCTAGATGTTATTTAAATATTGCTGTCTCATTAACGCATGCATTAAATCTTGCTTTATTCATAGAATTGGTAATAAGTTATTGTAAACCTGTACTTTGAGATGATTTTTTTTCTCAAATTGAGTAAAGTTCAAAGTAAGCATCACATTTTTTGACCCCGACAACATCAAATCATTCAAATTGCCTGATCCCTAAAATATCTGGTACTGTTGAATAGTTTTAATTATCTTAAATGGAAATGCATAAAGACAGTGGAATGATGTTCGGTAAGCACATGCTTAATACGGAAATGGCAAGCTTCGATGGTTCCTCCTGTTATCAAATAAAGTTTGAGCTTATATTATATTTATCCTACCATACTATACTTACATAGACCTATACGTGAATAATGAAAAGTTATCGGAATGGGTGTATTGCATATGTTCCGATTTAAATATTTTCATTTGCGACAAAATATGTTTGCATATGCGTCAAAATAAACAGTCTACTTGTGCAATTTTATAACCACAAAATAAGATCACAAAAGTCTTTTATTTTTCATAATTAAACGTTGCATAGGTCAATCAAATGAAATAAGATCAACACTTAATAAATTTCATAAGGGCTAAGCACTAAAAGATGGTAGTAGGGTATCGAGGGAGATTAGTAAAAGTATCAATAAGGTTAAAACACAATACATACAGCTTTTGTTTTCATCATAAAACTATGTGTGTTCTCCATTTTTATAGAGACAAAATGACGAAGACGTGACAGCATTCTACAATAGTGTTTCCCCCAAGCATGGATAGACGCCATGCACTATTTAAATGACGCCATGCCCTTTTTTGTCTTAATAAATGACGCCATGCCCTTTTTTGTCTTAATAAATGACGCCATGCCCTTTTTTGTGTTAATAAATGACGCCATGCCCTTTTTTCACTTCATTGGGTGACGCAATTGTCTCAAAAAATGCCCTTTCTTCCTGTTTTCATGTTTCTGGCATGTTTTTGCTAATTAACATTTACAACAAGTGTTATAAAGTTGTGAGTACAGTTAATCCGCTTATCGCCATCGGATGGGTCAATAATCCGTTAATTATTAATAAACCTCATAATTGACCACCATAATAATTAGCCCCAGTGAAATCTGTCAGTTGGCATTTTAATTTCAATATTTCTCAAGGCCAACGACTACAATGTGCAGTTCGTTTGTCGTAGTTTCGTCATTTGAAGAAAATTGTTTTCCCCTGGACAGTTCGCTTTTTAATTTCAATATTTCTAAAACGATCACAATTTGCAGTTCGTTTGTCATAGTTTCGTCAAATGATCGTATTGTCGTGATCTCTGGTATAAATCGTTCAATTTCAATCAAAAAGATAGAACTTTATTCAAAACAAGTGCTTCCTTTACTGTTTACGATATACTGCGCATGCGTGAAAGTTTTCCTATGAATTTATAGACTCTAAAATGTAAAATACGAAATAAATTTACCGGTAGTTTAAAATAAATAGGAAAGACAAATATAGTTCTAACTAAGCAAATCATATTAAAAAAATGATAATTTACTGCCTTTTTTTAAAAACGAACCAATCCGTAGATGAATCCGGATTCATTCTGAATCTATTATCTACTTGTCACTTCCCGTTTACATTTCATTTGTAAATCGAAAGTAAACGTGATCAATTCTCGATTAATTTACAATTTACAGTTATTAGAATCGTTCCAATAAAAATTTGTACAAATCCTTGTTTCCAACTTTATGGAAATGAATTCTAAATATCGATCTAAACGTTTTATAAGGATAATGATTATGCAGGGTTATAGTCTTACAAAGTTCTACAAGTTCATTTATACTGTGAATCCTGTTTTAAACAAAGGGGCACATCTTTTGTTGATCAGAACTGTCCCCTGAAAATAATTGAAGTGAAATTTTAAACTAGATTTTCAGATATTATATCCTAATCTTCATATTTAAGTGCCACATCAGTCAAATCATGTAATTACTGCCTAGTAAATTTATGCATTAGTCCTTCAAAGTCTGACAAAGATGTATAGCTTGTACTATACATACATCTTTGATCCCTCGCTGTTACCCGGATGGAATAATGTTGATTTTCATCTTTATTTAAAGATGCATATACAATATTATTTTGAAACAATACACTTGCTATATCTTGAGTTCTAATTCCATCAACAACTGCCAGTCCATACTTTACCAATGCAATATGACAATTTATTGCCTTTCTTGTTTCCAGCATACTGTAGGTGCCTTTTTGTTAATTTTCCATACACTGTAGGTGCCCTTTTTATAAATTTTTGCGCTCTCTAGATGCCCTTTTTCAATTAAGCTACCATGCCCTTTTTGTGTGATAGGGGAAAAACTAATAATGAGAACAAAATCGATATCATATATTTAACTATTAAAACAAGAATTTACTAATATTTTCCTGATATGATAATTACAAGTATCGTTTATTTACGTATAAATTAGGAATGCGGCCTAGGCGATTGATCAGAATTTAAAATCAAGGTTGCAGTACATGATCTAATATGGAATACTAGTAATCACAAATAATCAGGAATGACTAACATCAAAATAGTACAATTGATAGTACGATAACAGTACATTGTGTTCGTTTATGTTTATAGGTACTTTGGTTTGTCCTACTGCTTGGGAATCTCATGGATTGAAATGTTATAAAATGTCTCATCAAGTTTCTAACTTTTTGAATGCAAAGAATTACTGTCATGATCAAAATGCTGAGGTTATTATGCCGAAAACAGTAGAAGAAAACAGAATAGTGAAAAAGCTGCTTGACCAGTAAGTTGTTTTGTCCTTTTAACAAGTGCTTTCATTCTATGAATCATACCAAAATGAAATCTTAAAAGTAAGCTTGCCAAAAAAGTCTTCCTACGCATACATTTGTTAGCGCTCAATATAAATAAGGAGATGTAATATAATTGCCATTGAAAGAACGTACACCCAGAGACCAAATGACGAGCTCCCTCATGAACTTCCACATGACACTAAGCTCACCTAAAAATTTCGTTTCACATTTCCATATACTACAACTATCGTAAAATATCAACAAATGAAAGCCAGTGAGGCTCAGAAAATAAAAAACTTGAAAAATGTAAAACAGTTATATTGATATCCAGTCTGATCCTTTGGTCTTTCTCAGATAGTTGTCTCATTACAATCATACTACATACATATTATGTTATTTCTATTTTATTTTACATTTAAACTGTTGGCGTAGAAAGAGATTTTAACGAACAACAAAAAACTAAAACAAAAAACGTTTCACTTGTCCTCTCGTTTGTTCGATGCCTTCGAATTATGTAAACATATATATAATAAGAGGTTTATAATATTAATTCATAAAATCGTTACAATCAAAAGGGTCAAGTTTAAGAACCATAGTGAGTGGAATGGAATTTGGGTTGGACTAACCGATGATGAATATGAGGGAACATGGATTTGGAATGATGGCACACAACTAGATTCTGCCTATACTGACTGGAATACTGAACCACGCAGTAAGAATGCGTCATAATTGAAATGAAATTTAAAGAGTTGAAATTACACCAAAGCACCGGATCGGAGATTAATTTCATGAAGATTGCTATCGATAAGAAAAGTCGCAATAGTTCTATACTGCCTTTAATTATAAAATGAAGTTGACAATAGAAACGGGGAAAACGTTTAAGAGACAACAACCCGTTTTATTAAATGATATTGGACTTAAACATATAAAAACACATGTTTTTTCAAGTATTCTTGTAAATGCTTTTCACCAAAAACGAAATATAAGAAATAATTTAATCAGTCACTATTTGAAATGAAGAAAACAAGTTTATGCTTTAATATATAATCCTAATGTGAGAAAACTTGTTAAAATCTAAACCTAAGAAAAAAACATATTTCAAAATCTCTTTATTCTTCCTTATTATTGCTGCTGACCATATTTAAGGCACAGTTAGACGACGGATATGTTCCAATTGTCGTAACCACAATCCCGTCCTCTTTTTCTCCAATCTGACATAAAGACGTAGACTTATCAACAAATTTGTACTGATATTAGCAACACGACGGGTATCAAATGGGGAGCAGGTTCTCTTCACATTTTCCGAGTGGGATTTGCCTACCAATCCGTAGCACCTGATATCGTCCCCAATTTTTTAGAGGTTTTCAATCTTTAGTTTCCCATGTTGTGTTTTGTATCGCTGATGTTGCCATGTCATTTTTAGTTCGTTTCTGACTTATGAGTTTGAATATCCCTTTGGTATATCCAGCCTCTCTTTTATAACCACTGGTCGATGTTTCTGATGGTGACATTTTGTCCCCGAGGACATCATCTGCAAAGTAGCATACAATACATATAACTACGAAGATGTGACAGAATACTGGCTCGGACGTCGGCTTCCCAGTATGCTGTTAGATCTTTGAAATTTCGACCAGGGTCAACAACAGACGTCATCATGGACTCGGCGTCATCTGTAATGGCAAGTGTCTCCTGAGCACCAATTATGACAAAAACCGCAAATAAGACACAAATAGATCATCATACTTATGACAAAAGCAATTATCTTCACACTCGGCAGTGGACAATTCAATTACATAACATTTTAGTCATAAATGACTCTAAAGAAAACTGTCCCATTTCAAAATGTAAAACCAAAAGCTGCAAAACATGTAGAATTTTAATAAAAGATGCCCAATTAACTAGCAATTAAACATAACTATATTGCAACTAGAAGCTATAATGATCTAAATTGATAATCAACAAATCTCGTCTACAGATTAGTGTAACCTTTGCGGCTTGGTATATGTCGGTGAAACGAAAGGAATGCTTTATAATCATATGTGCAGCCATAGACCAAACATAACCAATAAATGCAAATGACATTGTTTACCAACATTTTAATCTTTCAGTTCATTCAATACGTTCAGTGCGAGTTCGCAACATTGAAAACATATACCAACGGAATAATAATCCTCATTTTGCAACACCTCTTTGTACTGCAAAAATCAGAAACTGCGATGAAATAAAAATATCGATGGTGTAGGCATTCTATCTAGTCATTTCTGTAGCTCAGTGTATGTTATGAATATTTCTCCTCGACGTAGTCGCAGTCATGGTCATCGTCATGATACATCACCTACTCTCCATGGTGTCTGTATTAATGACCTTCTGCTATTTTTACAGAAGCCGAAGCTATATAAACTAACTCTTTCAAAACTTTTTTCTCTGCACAACGTATATTTGGAAAGAATTGTTACAAATTCCATTCAACAATAAAAACTTACAGCTATCATCTCGGATATTCACACAGACTTTTTTGACTGGGTCGCATTGGAAGAGATGAAAAAGAGAAAGACAGGCGAAAGATACCAAATGTACATTAAACTCATAAGTCGAAAATTGACTGACAACGCCTTGGCTAAAAATGAAAAAAAAGACCACCAGACAAAAATGGTACACAAAACACAAAATAGAAAACTAAAAACGGAGCAACACGAACCCTACCAAAAACTGGGGATGATCGCAGGTGCTCTGGAACGATAAGCAGATCCTTCTCGACGTGTGGCACCCGTCGTGTTGCTCATGTTAGTACAAACCAGGTTACAAGTCTAAATCGTTATGTCAAATTCGGGAAAAGGAGACGGGAATGTGATTTCTACCTTTGGAACATATCTGCTAGTATCTGTAAAACGGATATTCCATAACGGTCAACCAACTCGTGATGGCGTCCGTAAATTTACGCAGGGTTGATTTCAACTTCGCTACTTGGAAATCTTGGTTTAATAGCTTTCTTGTGAGCTGCACAATCCTTTCTTAAACTTTCCTTTGCAAATAAAAGTCTCAGTGCAATCAACGTGAGAAATGTCTTTCATCATTACTTAGTTCAATCGAATATACCTCCTTTCTTTTAAGTTCATTTCTTATACCTATACCAAACAAATTGAGACTAAAATTTTCATTTACGAACAAATGCTGCAGGATCTTAAAGTTTAAAACTTCTGATTGCACTTGTGCAAGTTCCTCATTCATATATTACCCGGCTTGCCACGTTATTTCTTCTGACCTGAAAATATTTAATAACATTTCTTCGAGGATTATGTGTCAGACAATAGGCTGTACGTTATAGGCTATGAGAGAAACGAAGACGTATATACTGATTCTCAATCGATAAATTATGTGACGATAATGATACAAATAAAAATTATAAAATTGAATGGGTATAGGAATAAACATACTACATCTACTTTTAAAGACCCAAATGTTGCTAAGCACCTGTCCTACTTCCATGACAAAAATGTTGTTTTCATTACAGATAAAGCCGTAAATCACATTACATAAACTGATTGATAACGAAATCAGGTATTGAACAATCACTTGGAAACTCAACATCCCAAACTGCATTTACCATACAGGAAATCCTAAAACAAATTATAGGTCTGTTCTATGTTCCGTTGCAATTTTAACCAAAAGATCTACTGTATTATATACTTAAATTGTTCTTACAAACAACGTTACATTGCCGGATCTTCCAAATGCTCAACAAAAGCTCTTTCTAAATAATCATCATCAGCAATCAAATCCACCTAGGAGAGGTGTGAATTAGATGTAGAAACTATCAATTTTTTGCCTTTTCGTCGTTTATCGTGTTTTACCTTTGCGTTCAAAGTTTTTCGTCGATTTATGAGGTTTTGAATGTTTTCTTAGTATCTTCTGTCTCATTGGCAAAGGTTTTTCAAATACCGAACAGAAAACCATTGTTTTACGTATGTTACTAATGTACATGACATATACTCTTTTTAAATATTTCAAAATTTATCAACATTAAAACAATATAATCTAGGGATAATATTGGTGACTCGAGCTAATAACGTGGTGATCCTACAAAAACATATTAAAATTATTTCTGAATAAAACCCAAAGATGAAAGGTATGATCGCGTGAAACAAAATTTAGTATAATTAGCTGATAGTCTCAATGATGACAGACAACTACGAAACAGTACTTTATGTATTGAAAAACTAAATACAGTCTCTTTTGCAGTTCCATATAAACCTGTATTTACGATATTTAATTTGCATGTGTGTTATTTTTGTAGATGAACCAGGAGGGGGAAGTGTAGAGAATTGTGTAATTATTCATAAGGAAGTAAAAAAATGGCATGACGTTGAATGTAGTGGAAGTAATTATTACAGTGCAGTTTGTCAGCTAAAAGGTATTTCCCATTTACAACAACATATTTTTTAAAGCACTTATATTGCTATTGTCATATGATTAAAATTAATCGTACCATAAAACTCACAAAAGAATACGATTGTTCATGGAGACCGCCGTCTAAATATGACTCAGAAGTGGCATGCGAATCAAAAAAGTTGGATAAGCCTTTAATACACAAAATCCTATAAAAACCGACCTAGAAATACTTATTGAATACAAATAGGACTTATTCAAAATAAGAACAATTTGAACTTAAGCATGCAAGCCATTTAAAATATCAATAATTGAACAAAAAGTATTAAATCTACAAACATGTCATTTAGACCGACATAAAAAGCTCTCCATATTTTTCGGAAAGTACTTTGTTTGTGTTAATCAAAACAGGAAATCTCAGCTATCAGAATATATATTAGCAGAATGATTAGTTCGGTAATGCACGAATGCAAGACGTTTTGCTTGGTTCGAAGTTGTGCTGTCTGCTAATGTATGATAACATCTTAATAAATTTAGCCTAATGTGTCCATTTTCTGTGCAGTTTTTATCACTTTCAAGAATGTTTAACCAATGCAATAGAACATAGTTATGTAAAACAATTTGAATGTGTCATAGACTACTCAAAATTTATTTTATTTTTATTAAATATATGGGCTATTTATATTAATGTTATGACCACTGTAGCAAACAATGATTTAAGTTAAACATCAATAATCTGCTTCTGAAACAAACATTAAAATATCCCATTTCTATAATAAATGAAAATACACTTCATACATTTCGTGCGTCCGAAGCGCTTTTGTGGATTTACCTTCACCAAGAACACGTAAACCAAAACATCTGCAAGCCATTGGATGTTTATAAAAATAGTAAAACGTTAAGATCTATTTCATAAAAAGAGACATAAAACGAAAAGCAAAATTCATCAAAGATAAACTTTACCTAAGAGAGTTAGAACCTAAATTTCATAATATTTCACAACGTAAATCAATAGAATTGCCAATGTTTTATTGAGAAATAAGTTTTCTATTTATTGATATCTAATAATATATCTGAATTTTTAATGAAATCAATACTAACAAAAAACCTGCTTGTATCTGAATACAAATCATTATACGCTTACAAATTCACCCAAACAACAGACCTCCGTTAATAGCAAACAGAGTGTAAATTCTCGTTTAGGAAATTTTTTGATTTCCGGATGATAATTAGAGTACCATTTGACAGAACTTTTACAGAGTTTTACATTATGTCATGAACTATTAATTACAGGTCTAGTTCGATTTTTACGGTATATGGTATTCACCGTTCAAGAGGTGTTTCCCTTTATTATATAAAAAAGGTGTATTTGTTTCCAGGTAATAACAAGCTAGGAGTACTACTTGCCAGACTGAGAATCTTTAAAATTTTTAACATGATGACATAGACCATGAACTTTCGTTGAGGTGTGATTTTCATGGATTTGACTTTACTGATAAAGAGTTGTGCCCCTTGGTTTCTTAAATGTTTTGTATTTTGTTGGATGATGGTAAAATGGTAAACACAATAAAATGGACCATACTATTCAAGTCAAGTTCGATTTTCAATAGGTTTTTCACGCTCAAGAGTGTATCTATGATCACTAGAACACACATTTCTCTTATTGTTGAGAATCGATGCATGCTCTTTAATATGACTGTATTTAAATGATATGGAATGTTTGTTTTTTGTTTTTGAAATATGCAAATTATTAACCTTTATTTTCACTAGCATTTTGTTAAGCATATTGAAATATAGCTCGTTTGAACCCTCAATACAACACCTACAAAAAATATATTTAAAAGTTTAAAACTTTTGAAAAAAAGAAACACAGATCACTCCGCCAAGGCATGGGATCTGCATATACGCATCATTGCACCTTCAATAGTCACTTTAAAAAAATATTGATTGAATGTTTCTTGCTTAACATCGAATCGCAGTTATTTTATGCAATTCGGGAATATATTGAATAAACAATTGATACAATAGGTAGGCTCTTTACAGTAGGTTGACCAGGATGAATGACAGAACATTTAATCTACCACGTGAAAATAAACTATGTTGGCACTATCTAGGTACAATCTTTGTGCTTATGTAGGTTATTAGTTAGCATTAGCTTGTACTAGGATGAATGTTCAGATCATATCTTCTAGAAAATTGCCGTTTTAGTTTGAAACTAAAGACATACAGTTAAGTACTTAGTATCAACTAATACGGCAATAGCTTAACACTAAAACCTTATAACTTCTATACAATTGTTTTCCAATTCAGTTTTTCCCACACCTTTCAAGATTTTATCACAATGATTTCAAGAGTCATTCCAATGTTCTTAAAACTCCTCAGTACATAGTCTTTTAATTTAAACCATTTCATGCATGAATTTTAATTTCCTACCCTCAGCTTTTGATTTTTGAATCTTAAGATAAACAGTGTAATTCAGATTTCCTTATTTAATGCTTATTGGAGTAAGCCTTGTACAATTTTCTTATATGCTCCTGCATCATTTTCCTAACCAAATGAAAGCAACATAAATGCTTGATCACTGCTTCAACTTAATGCAAGGTTAAAACGCACAAATGACTTCCGATACATTTGTAAGAGCTGTCTCCCATACTCCAAGTCTACCCCCTTGAAAAAGTAAATTGGCAACACTAAAGTAACCTGCAACTTTTATCGGTTGACATGTTTCGTCGAATAGATTGGCGTCTTCAGGACAATGTATACAAAAATAAGAACCACTTAACGTGACTCATTCAACAAGGCATTTAGGAGGCGTTGGTTCAGCTGGTTTTTATTTCATAAAACTATATTATAAAAGGCCATTTTAGCCATTTAAAGCTAAAGAAACTTGCTTCCACATTTTAATGATTTTGAACATTTAAATTTGAAACAAATGTATAAATTAAACATGTTAAATTGTGAGTATTTGCAAACACATGCATTTTATCGGGTTAACAAACGCTGTACCATAGATATCATATTTACAGGATTCAAGTGTATCATAAGTTCATGTTATTTCACAGATATGATAGTCAACGAGGGTGAAAGCGTCAATCTTACTTGCGGCGTCAGTAACCTACAGACTAAATGGACCAGATCTGTAAATGATACAAGTGTGATAGTGTCTGAATATACAAATGGTTTGACGTTGCCAAATCTTATATTAAATTCTGTTAAATGGTCTGATCAAGGAAGTTACGAATGCAGTTTTACCAATGCCACAGGATTACTTGAAACCATACTCACAAGACTCTTTGTAAATACCTGTATGTTATACTGATTTAATTGTTTTAAAATAGTCTTTCAAACCATGCTAACGACTTTGAAGTAACGTCAACGATATATGTCACGGAAAAGTAAAATAACTCTTACATGAATATTGTCAAAAAATGTTCGGTCACCCACCACAATACTATACGTTCACCAGATGTAAAAACTAAGTAATGTTGGTCGTTGTTTTCTGAAATCTCAGGTATCAAATAGCATTTACTGCTATCAAAGAAGAAAATAATATGAACAGAGAAAAACAAATAACATTTGATAAAATTGGTGCATCCAAAGAGCTTTATTTGATGTACCTTCATCAGGAACGTTCACAACGAAAAATTCGACCACCATGGATAAATAAAAAGTACGAGCTATACGAAAACAAGGGGATATTTCCATAACCCTTTTAGATCAACTTTGCCTGAGGGAGTTGGAACCATAGATTCTTAATAATTTTAAAATAAACAATGCAAATTTTAAGGAATGTTTGTCACTTGTGAATCACTGACTTCTGGACTCTACTCCACCAGCAGTGATATCGACTCAGGACTAGAAAATGAAAATATGACATTTTATATATCTACCAGTTGATGCAATATTCCTGAGCTAGAGTTTCCTGATATCATTTACTTGACAGAGGGTTGTTGCGGACACGGAGGCTATTTAATCAAGGTTTCTAATAGTAAAGTTGAAGTCATCTATTGTACGCGATAATGATTTGATTGATCGTAAAGGACTTAATATGTTACAGATAACCATAGACACATGCATGTTCCACTTGTAGTAACAATCGCTTCCACATTTCTTGATTGTGGCATCACCGAATGAGACTTATCACCGAATTTGTACTTATCATGAGCAAAACACAACTGGTTTCACTTGTGGTGCAGGATCTGCTTACCCTTCTAGAGCAGTGGAGATCAATCCGTTTTTTTCAGTCCTTAGTTTTCTATATAGTGGTTTGTTGACTTGTTCGTCATGAAGTCAATTTTCGTTCTTGCGATGATTTGTTGGTTCCTCTTCGACTTTTGATTGTCACTTTGGTAATACCTTGTTCTTTGAAATAAGTTTGGTGTGTCTGAAGTGATTTTAATGGGTTACCTTCATTCTGCAAAACTAGGAACGACATCGAAATGACTTTTTCGAAAGGCAAACTCAAATGGAAAATCTAAGTACAATACAAAACAAAAAGAATTCAAAAGACAAAGTCTGGCACACGTGTACAATTAGTCACGAATAATGTAAAAAATACAAGAAGGTTCCTTAAGTGCAATTCAAAACCGGTGATACAAAAAAATTGACCATATACATACCAGAAATACATGAAATAATTGACGAAAGAGGAATCAACAGTCGACAATACATACCGAAGAAAACTACCCCGTTATCCACAAAACATCTTGGCGCATCGGAAGGTTAACTCTCTCAGATCTACTTGATACACCCATCGTGTTACTCCTGTTTATATCCGTTGATGGGTCAAATCTAGTGATAAAGAATGATACGACACGAATTGACAAACCATTTTTGTCTGACACAAAGGCAATACAAAAATTATACACTATTACAAATATTTGTTTAATATGCAGTTCTATATCAGTTAAAGTAGTTTCTTTTTGATACTGCAATGATAAGCCTTTTATTAAGAAATTGAACCCTGAAAATACTAGCCCGACTTTGTTTCATCACAGGTAGGTGGAATAGAACACATTATCTTAAGAGAATTTGTCTGTTGTCTGCTCTATGGTTGGGCTGTTGTCTCTTTGACACATTCTTCATTTCCATTCTCAATTTTATTGTCGTACGTATATTGATTTTACAATTTAACTAGTTTTGTACTAAAGAAGCACATCATTTGTGAACAATATCATACAGTTCCGTCGTCAAATTAAATTTTACCTTTCGACAACCCTGCAGTGGTGTTAACGGTCAAGTGATTCTAAACACGCATAATACATCTGCAGTTTGCCCAAAGGCACAGATTTTCATTGGATTAAAAATTAAAAAAAATCTTTCAAAATATGCTTTTTATAGCACATTCATTTACTAATAATTTTAATCATTTGCGATGAAAGACGGCAAAATACCCCCATACAAACACGTTAATCGCGCCCTGTTTGTTATGCGTTTTCATTTACATATATCAATTGATGAATTGTGCCTTTTTTGAATTAAAACTATTTGATAATTGTTTTGTCTATACTAGCAACGGAAATATGTCCTTGCCGATGTGAATACAGAAGAAAACTGGAATATTGGGTGTCAAAATTACCGCAAAATCAAACAATTGAGGAATTGAAGAAAGAGTTAGAGCCAGTCATCAGGCAGATTCAAGAACAATTAAAAGTAAACAAAACCGAGCTATCATCAACTATCCGCAAACTAACATCGGCTAAAGACGAACGCAAGTCATCTCATACAATTGGTTTTGTTGGTGCGGTATTCATCTCTGTCATTTTCGGAACTGTCTTATTCATAGACCTAGTAATGTTTCGACAGCACATTAATAACATTAGGAAAATATATGGTCGTTAGAAGAAAGAATTGGAAAAAAGTAACCAGGAAATGGAACCATGAACACTATAATACTTCAATAGAGGTATAAAAGAATCGATAACTTTAAGAGTTTTGTTGAAATCAATTTGATAGGATTTTCAATTTTGTACATAAGGCGTTGTAAAATCATATATGTTTTTCTTGTCACTGTTAGGCTTTTTAAAAAGATGAGTAAAATAGGGTAGTTAAAGATTAATCTTATTAAGGGTGAAATACGTACGAATAAAAAACCAAAATCTTCTATAATACCTTGGTTTTTATTATTATTACAAACCTGTGAGTGCATTTTTGATTGTTATTAAACGCAAAATAATTATCTAAGATACCTTGGACGATCTCATTAAATAAAAGATCTCTTTTATTTACTTATTTTACCTCGAACTTATCAACCCGGTGTAGGTCTTTATGTTGAGGTTCTATTAACTATAAGTTAATCGGGCATGACTAGTTAGACACGCCCTTTAGAATCAGGGGGTCCAAAACAGCCAGCAAAATACCATAATTTACAATTGCAGAGAATCAAAGTGCTTTTGGTTGATTATCTTCGGTCAATAATCAGACGGTATTTCAGTGGAAATATAAACCTGTCCGAAGCCGGAAATTGTTGGATGTAATAGGAAGTTATTTACAAAATAAGTCCATATCTCATTTACTAATAGTGGCCGTTATTGATTGTAAATTCATGTCGTTTTGTTTTTGGCATTCGTCTGCAATGGAAAATTATCAGGGAGAGCTACTAACATAACTTACGATTTTGATCATGGTTCAACTTTACTTAAGTACGGCTTATGTTTAACCTATAGTCAACGCTCTTTCGTATTACAGTGTCATTCTAAAATTGTTATCATTTGATTCCGGTCGATCCACGTTGCATTTTGTCGTGAATATGTATGACATATTTGCCACTGGACATTTAGGGAGCAATCCATTAATCAGCTTCATTTAGTAACGTATAACCATTAGTATTCAGTTGAGAATTGTCTCAAGCAGTTTTCAGTTTTTTTTTATATATATTTGATTTTTATATTTGATTTTTGAAGAGTAAATTTTAACATTTCTTTCATCATTTTTCTCTTTCCATTTATTTTTTGAAACATTTGCATGTTACGTAGCGTAGGAAAATTACGGAATTAAAACCCAAATAGACATTTACCTAAATACTGTGAAGGACATTATGCATCTAGGTCTGTTCGATTAAAAAGTTGTGAAACAAGCGGTTTGAATAACTAATTGTTGGAAGAGTTTACTTACTGTTTTCATTTGGTCTGGTCTTTAAGAATCTATTTCATGATTACTGACAGATTAAAAATATCAAATATATCTAACAAAAAGATCTAATGCAGAACATTCATTGGTCAGTTGTAAATGAGGTTTGTATAGAGTTACGATTAACTCATTTATAAAGTAAAAAATCGTTATTTTGAAAAGTTGGAATTCAAAAATATGAATTTACCCCTTAATTTTATAAAACTATCTTATCATTGCCTATGGTGTTATTCTGATGCTAAAAAAACTTATAATAAATAAATAATTAAATGATGTACTGCCATTTTATCGGTCCATTTCCAATGCTATTAGGTAACTGTTAATTAAGTTAAATCCAGAAAAGCGCTTCGCACGCCAGCAATTTATAACGTGTTGTTTTCATTTTTTGGACTATATTTAGACTCGTCCATTTCAGGGGAATAAGGCTTCTGCATGTGTTTTTTGTGTACCTTTTTTATGTTTCTGAAGGTTTGTAAGTCAGTAAAAATTCAAGGATTAAGTTAATATTGACATTAAAAAACCTCCTTACAAAAAGGGCTGTTCAAATTTTTTGTTCGAAGGTCTTTTAATATCAATATTACCTTATCATTGAACTTTTACTATTACTTACATTTACCATATGAGCTAGTTAAAGGTTATCAATATTTTGATATCCTTTTTTCTTTTGGCAGTTCAACCGAGGGATTCTAGATTCTAACTTCGAATTAATATGACATTTTTTTGGTGTAACATTTTGCAATGATTTGGTGCAAAAGTGCATTCAGGTTTCAAATAGATAACCGTACTACCTATTATGACATATTCATCGCGGACAATTTTAGAAAGGAGAAAAATGAATAAATGCAGGTGCATAATAAAAACTTGTAACAAACACATTGTCATCAGTCGGAATAAAACTGTATTCGTAATAAATGCGCGTTCTCCACCGGGGTAATATTGCTTTTGTTGAAGAAAATTCTTGAAAAAACTGATAATACGTACGCAGTAATCTTTCCCTCTTAATACGAATAACGACGAAAACAACAGGTTAGAAGTGCTTTCCGCAACATAAGCTTATAATGTACCTGTACCCTTCTAACCATTGATATGACAATGTATTTTGTAATACGTCAATAAATGCAGTTTAAACAATTCTATTAAAATTGTCCCCCTCGCAAGTTCTCTCAATTTCTTTTTGAACACCTGGAACATGAGTATTTCAAGATGAAATTGTCTACCTAATGCATAACTCCCAGCTTTATATTTTAACTTTGCTTCCTGACACATAGTGCTGTTTGGTGATCGGTGTATGTTGTAGAGTTATATGTGATATTGTTTTAATGTGAGTTATTTTTTATAAATCAAAAAAAAGTTCAACAAAGCTTGTGTTTAATTGTAATATGCTTTTTGCACTAAAATAAATGTTTTCTTATTTATGTATAGATGTTGTGTTGGACTTATAGATGACATCGAATTGTACTCATGTTTAAGATAAGAAGTTTCTTGAAACAGAATATTTGTTAATGTTTATTAATAAAACGGATTCTCAAAGCCAATTCATAGGTTGTTCTACCATTCAACATAAAAGAACGACGACTCATGTCCTACACTGATTAAGGAGTTTCGCCTAACTCTAGAATTATCATTTGGTGTACATTTCGGAACTTTTATTAGTAACAGAACAAATCTATAAAATGCTTTCCTATTGGACAAATATAAATTGTTTAAGTAAATTTTTTAAAAGGCTGACATGTGAAAATCGGTCTCAATCTAACAATAGCTCGATTATTAACAAGCTATATAAAAATAATGAAATGTGGTAGAATTGCAAATGAGAAAACTATCAACTAGAGACCAAATGACGAGGCTGTGAACACTTATTAGGCGCTGTACGGAATTCAACAACGAGCAAAACCCATACCGTACCGTAAGGCACAAAAGGCCTCGTCGCATGATAAAATTTAAAACAATACAAAATAGGAAACCAACATTCTGATTATGCTTCCAAAATAGAAAATAAATCCAAAGAAGACAGACAGCAACCAACGACAACCACAGAACTACAGGATGCTGACTTAGGAGAGGAACATGAAGAATGTGGCGAGGTGGAAAATGTTTGTGAACTCTCAACCCACACTCTTAACTGGGACAGTTGTGTAACAGCATACAATAATCAAAACTATAAAAAAGATATGTTATTTTTGAGATTGATTTGAAATATAACTAGATTTTCAATTGATTCTTCCAGCAGTATGAATCAGATATACATAATATATTTTTAATGAAATTGAAATACAGGCTATCTAAAAAAGTGATATGATCGTATTTTATAGATATTTCTCATATTTTTAAAACTTGATTCTGAGAAAAAATTTATTTGTGTTGTAATCAGTTTTACAAATTGTGCCATATAGGAAGATTTGACTACTATTTGTATCGGAAATTTATTTTCAAAACAAGTTTGCTCATGTTTAAGTGAATCTATATTTGTATAGCCTGTATCTTAGGTCAAACCCGTTGACAAGTGGAATAACCTCCATCAGATACACTTGAAACTTGAAGTTTAAAAAGACGGATAACATTCACCAAGTCCGCTTGACACATAAGATTTAAAAGTTGAAGAACATTCGGCAACTCCGCTTAAGCGAAAACTAATGACAGTTGAGGACATGAAATCAAATGCTTAAACAGGACAGGAAAATCCGTCCAAGATAGGCTTTGTCTGAGGGAACTGCTTCCTTAGTTTTTAAAACAATTGTGCAATCACATAATTCATGAACAAGAAATGATATTGGTTTATGCATAAGAAATTATACACCGGCTTTCTCGTAATGCACTAAGTTTACCGTTAGTTTTCTCAATTGAATTGTTTCATATTTGTCATGTCGGGGCCTTTTATAGCCGACTATTCGATATGAAACCTTCTCATTGTTTAAGGCAGTACGGTTGCCTATAATTGCTTACATCAACTTCATTTGAACTTTGCTGGATAGTTGTCTCATTGACAAACATGGCAAATATCCTTATTTTTTATATAAATCAGCATTAATATAAATTGAAAATTAATGTTGCTTATTCATGAAGAAAAATAAAAAAAGGCCAACAGCGGAAAGTACATACTAGATAATATCACATTCATAATATTGTTTCATTGAATTACATACAAGTTTGAATTATCTATTATTCAATATAATAATTTGCAGAGATGAAAATTAAAATATCATCCGAACCTATAGAATCGTTTTAAGGAAGTTCTTTAGTTAAAAGTATTGTGTTATACCCACTGCGCGCAACTGGTAAACAGGTAGACGAATGTTGAAACTTAATACAGCTGAGGAACACTACCAGATGATGTGTATGCAGGATAATATTCCAAATCCGAAAACTAGTTTACTACGTTGGATTTCATGCGATTTTCACTATTTTCAGTAACTAGTATTATGTTTATACCGGCGTTTCAGATTTATTATACACATCGGTATACTTTAGTCGTGTTTTGTATGATATCTCATAAAAAAAAGTGAACTTTTTATCGAAGAAGATTTTTTTGGTACAAAACAACGTTATATCTGTCAACGTTTGTTTTAAACGGTTGACACTTTTAAATCCAGATGACATACAAAATTCAAAGAGTTGTTGTATAGCCTTTTAATATATCGAAAGCGTTACACACGTTCTACTAAGAACATTGATTTGACGCCCCCATTCTGTTAACAGGGATGTTTGAAGTGCTGACAAGTCTTTTACATTTTATATTGTATTTACACATTTTCAATTTGTGAAACATTCAAAACTGTCAAATTTTCTTCGAGATGGCAAGCGATAAATACCGTCGCCAAGAATCAGTTGCAAATTCGATTTGTCATCATTGTCTCTTGATAATATTATAATTTATGTTTTTGGTTGGTTCTTTTTGTCCAATCTATAATTGGTTTTCGAAATGTTTTTTTAATTGCTTCTTGTCTTTTGTCATTTTGAGACATGTCCGTCTAATTACTCTCCTACCGTTTGTTTTTTTATTTTGGTGATAATCATGAAACAGAAACATTCAATTGAAGTTCTACTTAAAATTGCACACTTGACTGACACACACATGCGCAAATTAAGGCAACAGTAGTTTACCGTCGTTCAAATCTCATAAATCGATTAAGGAAAAAATTCAAAGTGGCAAACAAAAAAAGGGAATCACATGAACTCGAAAAGGATGAAGACCGGGTGTGTCGACAGGGTAAGCGTCTGCTGCTATGCATGGATCACCCGTCATGCTTATCTACACTCAGTCAAAATGTCACAATCGGGAATAGGACACAATTGTTACAATAGACCCAGACATATCGTATGAGCCAATTAAATCGTGATGGTACAATAGACACAGACATATCGTATGAGCCAATTAAATTGTGATGGTACAATAGACACAGACATATCGTATGAGCCAATTAAATTGTGATGGTACAATAGACACAGACATATCGTATGAGGCAATTAAATCGTGACGGTACAATAGACACAGACATGTCGTATGAGCCAATTAAATCGTGACGGTGAACGTAAAATTTATGTAGTGCCGTTTAAAGAGTACTGCTAAAAAATACATATATAAAAGCATGACCCAATATCGTTATATCTATTTGCAACCTCGCTTTCATCATTCATATAATTCAACTTTTCATCATTCAATACTAAATATTTAACAGTCAACATTCTGCATTCAATTTTCAACATTAAATATTTTATTCTATAAAAATACCAGAGGGACAGTCAAACTCATAGATCGAAAATAAACTGACAACGCCATGGCTAAAAATTAAAAAGACAAACAGACACATAATAGTACACAAGACACAACATAGAAAACTAAAGACTAAGTAACACGAACCCCACCAAAAACTGGGGGTGATCTCAGGTGCTCCGGAAGGGTAAGCAGATCATGCTCCACATGTAGCACCCGTCGTGTTGCTCATGATATTACAAATCCGGTAAATAGTCTAATTCGGTAGGTCACATTCGTGGTGAAAAAGGAAGTAGATTGTAATTACGACAATGGAAGATATCCGATATCATCTGTGAAACGGTTATTCCATAACGGTCAACCAACTCGTGATGGCGTCCGTAAAATTTACGAAGGGATGATTTCAACTTCACCATTTGGAACTCTTGGTTTAATAGCTTCCTTGTGAGCAGCAACCCTCTATCAAGAAAATCATGATAGGAAATACAAGCCCGGGAATATCATATCAATTGGGAGATATATACTCCGTATGCAGGCGCTGCTGGAATGTTGCTACATAGAAATGGAAAGTTCACAATTAGGAAACTGAAATCATCTCTTTTGTCGTAAAGTTTAACATGAGGATGAAAATTACTTTAATCACAGAGTGGAACAAGAAATCCCACTTTGCACTATCTATAATCACCTTTACTACACATTTCAGATCCATGTTCATATACCGAAATATTTACTTTTCCTATTTTATTCCCCATTCCCTTATTGAGAATTCATTATATGTAAATAGATATAAGAAGATGTGGTATGAGTGCCAATGAGACAACTCTCCATCCAAGTCACAATTTATAAAAGTAAACCATTATAGGTCAAAGTACGGTCTTCAACACAGAGCCTTGGCTCACACCGCACAGTAAGCTATAAAGGGCCCAAAATGAATAGTGTAAAACCATTCAAACCGGAAAAACAACGGTCTAATCTATATAAAAAACGAGAAACGAGAAACACTTATGAACCACATCAACAAACGACAACGACAACAAGCTTGCTTTACTCAGTGGGTATGACATTTAGATCCATTAAACATAATTTGCACATATCTGGTAACCTTTTTTACACATTTAATATTCCCACTCCGCTTCAACAAGTTACATGTTGAAATTTAAATGTTGAATGGTGAAAATCAAAAAGCGAGATATGAATGTTGAATATTGAAATTGAATGTTTAATGATGGAAATTGAATATTGAGAATTAAATGTTGCAAGTTGAAAACGAGATTTGACTGACGAAAAACGAATGTTGAATGATGAATTTCGATGTTGAATATGGAAAATGTATGAATGTTAGAAAAAAGGAGGTTGAAATCGAATATTGAAAATTGAATGTTAAGTGATGACAATCGAATTTTTCAAATTTAAATGTTGAGTAATAAAGTCAAATATTAAATGTTGAAATATGAAGAATCGAAAATGGAAATGAAAATGTATAATGTTGAAATCGAATGTTAAAATCGAAGGTTTTAAGTTTAAATTTGAATGTTTTATATTGAAATCAAAAGTTACAAATTAAACGTCGAATGTTGAAAATCGAATGTTGAATGTTGAAAATTAAATGTTCAATTTTTGAATGTTGAAGTTTCGAATGGAATGCTGAATGTTGAATGTTGGTCACCGAATATTTGCAATCATTGAATTGGAATGTTGAATGTTGAAATTATAGTTGACAGTTGAAATCGAAGATTTAATGATGAAATGAAATGTTGAATGCTGAAAATTGCATGTCAAAATTTGAATTTTGAATGTTGAAAACGAATAATTGATGCTGAAAATCAAATGTTGAAGGTCGAAAATTAAATGTCAAAAATCCGAATGTTAAATGTTGAAAACGAATATTGAAAGGTGAAAAACGAATATTGACAGTTGAAAAAAGAAAAATGAATGCTGAAATACGAATGTTAGATATTGAAAACAAATTTTGAATGTTGAAATCGAATGTTTGAAAATTTGAATATTGGGTGATGAATCGAATAATGAAAATAACATTTTGAATAAACAAAATTGATTGTTGAAAATTCAAAAGTTGATGTTAAATATTGACACCAGTCTAAATTATTGAGTTAGTAACCTACATCGATCTGTGCACCTAGATGGAAAAAAGTGGAATTCGAAGACTAAGGACATTCAATTATGAATTAATTTTAATAATTAAAATTACCAATATCTGATTCAGCTTCAAAACAGTTCATATTGTCAAATGTGCTGTGTCTGTATACTTGTAGGATGCTATATTTTGTAAGACTATTGGTCATTTCTATGTTCCAGCTGCTGATAAATTCACAGCTAAGTAAGTACATTGATTGCATTTATTTTTTTCTCCTTTCACTCACAATGTAACATATTGAATTCCTCTCTTACAATTGTTTTTATCATAGGTGTCTTCACTTTTGACCTCTGATTTTTATCTATATAGAACTTCTGTGGACAAAATATCTAGAATATTACAATATGTAAAATACAGATAAACTATTAAACTATTTGTACTGATATGTACTATGTATATACATTTTTGTAAATACACTTTAGAAAGTGCAACAAGGATTTATTTATTGGACTTGAGGATTTAATGACGGCAAAAACCAAATTAACCGTTAATAAACGTATTTAATTTTTAGATTGTTGATATTTAGAATAAATCTTTGACATTTTGTATTTGATAAATAAAAATAACATTAACCTCAATGATTTTGGGTCGAATAACAAATCTGCCTTTAAAAATATAGAAAATAATTGACATGGGTTACTAGCTAAAGGAAATGCATTTTTTGATGTTTACATTAGGATATGAAAATCAACATTTCCCTTACTCAAACAGCAAAAATGAACTTTAAAAAATTCAGCCGTAAGTTTTCTCTTTTGAATTGTTTATATTTTGTTATACGGTATGGGGTTTGCTAAATTCGAAGAACCTGCGATGACCTATAGTTGTTCACATCCGACTTTAGTGAACAGGGTTAAAAATGGCAATCACACTACATTAGTTTTAGAGTAATCTGCGAATCGTTATAACTTATGCATCATTTTAATAAATATAACTCTAAGAAGATAAGGTATGATTGCCAATTAGACAACTTTCCACCAGAGACCGAAATGATGTAGAATTTAGCAACTATAGGTCACCGTACGGCCTTCAACAATGATCAAAACCAATACCGAATAGGATGCTATACTAACCTTCGACATGACAAATGTAAAATAATCAAACGAGAAAACTAACAACCTGATTTATGTACAAATCAATTAACAAAAAATATGATATACATAAACAAATGACAACCACTGAATTACAGGCTCCTGACTTGGGATAGGCACATACAGAATGTTGCGGGGTTAAACATGTTTGAGGGCCTCCAACCCTCCCCTTACTTGGGACAGTGGTGTAACAGCACAACATGAGAACAAACTATAAAATCGAGTCTATTTAGCTTATTCCAATTTCGGTTTATCAGACTATTATTTTTTTAGCAATCAGAATCATATTAGAGTAATAGGCTTACATATGTTCTATATACGATATGAGCATTACATCTTAATATCGCAGTAGCGGATCCAGAACGTCTGGAGGGGTGTGAAGGGGGAGGGTAATAGACGTTATAGTACTTTGTATGGTTACACCCAAAGGGTTGAATGGGGTATTGACATATGAATATATCTGGACTCCTCATGGACAGCAGTAGCACCTTGCTAAAGTGTCACAAGAAAATGTGATGTAAGTAAAAATAGTCTTTTACTCGGAAAAATGTTTTTTTACCAGGGTAACAGCAGTGTCTTCAAAAGACAACACCATGGACAGAAGTGAAATACAGAAAAAAAGTTAGCGTTTGTTTGTACTGTCATATGAAACAGAGATTGTTCAATTTACCGATTATGGACTCTAGGAACTTCGTCAGTGGTTCAATGTCATACTCTAATGTTTTTTTTACTAGTTGGAGAATTAAGTTTTAATGGCAGGTCTTTGTTTGTTCTGTAAAATGTATTCACAACTTTTATTGACTCGGAACGATAAACAGCTTGAGATAATATTGTTTTAACACCTGTGTATTGTTAAATATAAAAATTAGAAGATGTGGTATGATTGCCAATGAGACAACTCTCAATAAGATACAAAATGACACAGAAATTAACAACTACAGGTCACCGTACGGCCTTCAACAATGAGCAAAGCCCATACCGCATAGTCAGCTCTCAAAGGCCCAGAAATGACAAATGTAAAACAATTCAAACGAGAAAACTAACGACCTAATTTATGTACAAAATAATGAATGAAAAACAAATATGTTACACAGCAACAAGCTACTACCACTGAATTACAGGCTCCTGACTTAGTCAGACTCAAGTAGAATGTAGCGGGGTTAAACTAGTTTGGAGGGACAACCATCCCCATAACCTGGGATAGTGGTGCAACGGCACAAAACAAGCCCAAACCATACAAAACGTCAAACGAAAAAACTAATACGAGAAACAGCAACAAACGACAACCACTGAAATACAGGCTCCTGACTTGGGACAGGCACACAAAGAATGTGGCGGGGTTAAACTAGTTTGAAGGCGCCAACCCTCCCCCTAACATGGGACAGTGGTGTAACAGTACAACATAAGAACAAACTATAAAAATCAGTTGAAAAAGGCTTAATTCATTAGATGGACACAAATAGAAATACATCTAACAAAAACATAGGAGGAACGTGGCAGGGTACTTATACTTTGAAGACTGTATATGTTGCCCTCTAGAAGTCTTTCGGTAATTTTAGTCGTTTGACTGCTGTCTAATTGACGTATCCCCTACATCTCCTTTTATTCATATTCGGACTTTGCTTTAAACAATACGATTTACAAAGGTACTTGTTTTTGTGCATACTAACTGGTAATTTAGACAAAATAAAGAACTGATGACAATTTGTGTAAAATGATGATATAAGTATAGATATTTAAAGTTGAAATCTCTTTTTCATCAAAAGTATTTATTGTTAGAGGATTATTATTTAACCTCACTCTGTAGCCTGTGAACCAGTCCAAGAGACACAGTTTCAGTGCTGAGAAGATGTGATTAATCGTGGTTCAGCAAGATTGCAATATTGTCAAACTAGTGAATGAACAGTTGGAATAGGCGTGACTGTTCATGGACGGCGTTGTGTTAGACTTAAAGTGTTGTTAGTCTGATTATCGTCTTTGATTTCACGAATAATGAAATACGTTCATCTTTTCTTTTCAATCATTGTTTCCTGAATGTCTTATTCAGTCAAGAATCAAAGTAAGTCTAGGAATAGCTTAAAATCAAGGATTTTGCACCATCAAATGAACAGCGTTTATGAATCTAGGCTGTTTCAGGTAAATATTCATAAAAATACCTGGTTTATAATTTAGTACGCCTGTAATACACTCATTTTTGACTATTTACACGCGCTATTTTCATCACACGGCGTGTACACGCATTCCATGTCTTTACATGCAACCACACACATGTTCGCACGTTATTATAACGATACGGATTTTCGGTTGTTAATTATGTATTTTCGGTTCGAAGTCATCGGTTTTTTTCCATCGATCGTCAATTATATCAAGATCGCCAAAGTTTTGCATTCTTCATTTCAATGTCCGGGAAAATGCTATGAGTTTGGAGGAATGTCGTTTTCTAGACCCGTAGCTTTATTGTAAGAGGAAGAAGTACTTTTGTATCAAACCTTTGGGAATTGTTGTATCTAGTGTATTTATTGAATCAAGCGTTCCTGTTGGTAAAAATGAATTTCATCGCTTTGAAAGTTTTACCGACAGCATAATGAATATGTCGACAGTTACTGACTGTATGTGCCACATAGGACAACGGATATGTCCAATAGCTACAACCCGTCCTTTTTTGTCTATCGTTACATTATCGAATGCAATTTATACCCATGATCTACATCACGGTTAGGATCTGTTTATTCATCCGAAGCACCTTATATTAAGTTCAAACATGAAAAAGCGGAGTTCCTATTACTCAATTGTTTCTTTTATTGGTAGTGATGTGTGGATTGTTGTTTTTTCTTTTTCTTTATTTCCGTTTGAACATACTGATGTGTGTTCCTCTTCGACTTATGATTTTCTAAAGCCTTCTTGGTACATTCTCCTATCTATTTTTTTTTATTATTCTGAACGATCAGCACAAGTTTTGTTTTAAAGTGATAAAGAAATAAGAATGGTAAGGTGCAGAGACCTAATAATGTAGGATTGAGATTTGCCGCATTCAATATGATAAAATTCCATTATGAAAATAGATCAAATATTAAAAAAGATATTACGATATCATTGTAGGAGTGAAATTACAATACAGTATTTATTTACAGTAGATAACATATACCGTTTCGCCACGAGGTCTTATGATTCGGTTGTATCCTAATTAATAAGATGATAGCGATACTCAACATTATATATTCTCTTCAAACAAGTCCTGAAACTAAAGCACCTTCCCCCTCCCCCCCACAAAAAAAAAAAACACAAAAAAACAAAAAGGCCAACAAAACACAAATCAAAATATACAAACAAACACAGAACATATTAAGACAAAAAAATCTCAAAGTGTATTAAAAAATATATTAAAAAGTACTTGTATGTCATATTTTGATATTTTTGAGAATTGGGTATACATCTTTGATTGTTGCAGTTTAAATTATTTACAATTCATCCTCAGGACGATTTTATGGTTGACATATTGTGTATACACATGTCTATTGTTGATATGTGTTGCCTCTTGCTGTGAAACAAAGTTTTATCATACTGAATATTTGGTTTACCATATTATACACACATAAACCTGTACGCGAATAACGATAATCACTCGTAACATGCGGTTTTGAATTTGTGCAAATTTTAGAAAAAAATTAATTTCATTTGCTCCAAAACAAAGTTTTCATATGCGCCAAATTTAATCATTTAATTTGGGCAATTCTATAACGACAAGGTAAGATCACATTATTTTTACATGATTAAACGTTGCATAGGTTAATCCGAAGACGCGAGGTAAATGAATATAACACTTTATCTATAAATTTCTAGCGTCCGAATTAACTTAAATGGGAACACTAAATCCAAAATATTTGAATATGTTGAAACGTTAGGAGCTAAACGACCAAAAGGGACATACATATAGATAGCCAAATTCTTCTAAGGTGAAATTTTCCTTATGGATTTTGGTCCTAAGTTTATTATTAATTTCTTAATTCATCAACGAGGACTTTTAGAAAAAAAGGTTTATACATCATGTCTGTAACGAAGTATCGACTACTGAGCTGATGATACCATGTGGACTAACAGTTCCGGGCATCCAGTACTATTAAAAGTAAAGAACACTTTACAAATTTCGTGCGACCGAAGAGTTTTTCTGAACTTACCCTCATCAAGAACGTTCATACCCAAACAATTGAAAGCCTGGAATTTATAAATACTCAGAAATGTTAGGAGCTGTACAACCAAAAGAGACATTAAAAGTAATAGCCATGTTCGTCTTAGGTCAATTTTGACGGAGGGAGTTGGAAACCATAGATTCTCAGTAATTTCTTAATTCATCAACGAGGACTTTTAGAAAAATAAATGGAAAATGTGTTTATGGGCCACAGATGCCCCCGCTTGTAAATATGCACGAGTCAACTTCCACATACAGATGCAGGATTCTCGTAGTTAAGACTGTTTTGTGATTATAAGCATAAGTTTCGTAACATTTGGTTGAGGCAAGCTAAAGTTAGAGAACGGAAACGACAGATTTAGCAATTTTTCCATTTATAAATGGGCATAACTCAAGAAAAGTAAAAGTGATGCCACCCAATTTCGAACTTGATCGGTGTTTTGTGGTAATAAGCATTGTGTATAGGTGTAATAACATTTGGATGAGGCAAACTAAAGTTAGAAAACGGAAACCAAAAATCTCAGCAATTTTTATGTTTATAAAGGGCACAACTCATGAATGGTAAAAGTGATGCCATCAAATTTCGAACTTGATCTGTGTTTTGTGGTAATAAGCATTGTGTGTAAGTTTTATAACATTTGGTTGAGGCAAACTAAAGTTAGAGGCGGAAACGAAAAAATCGGCAATTTATATGTTTATAAAGGGGCATAACTCATGAACGGTAAAAGTGACGCCACCCATTTTCGAACTCGATCTGTGTTTTGTGGTAATAAGCATTGTGTATAAGTTTTATAATATTTGGTTGAAGCAAACTAAAGTTAGAGAACGGAAATGAAAAATTCCGCAATTTTTATGTTTATAAAGGGACATAACTCATGAACGGAAAAAATGACGACACCCAATTTCGAACTTGATCTGTGTGTTGTAAAAATAAGCATTGTGTATAAGTTTTATATTATTTGGTTGAGGCAAACAAAAATTAGAGAACGGAAACTAATTTCGGGACGGACGAGACAGATTAGACGGACAGGACGGACGGATATGGGTAACACTTAATGCCCCCTCTGCTACGGCGGGGGCATACATATATTGTAGATCATGACAGTACCGTAGAACCGACTACTGATCGGTGATACGCTCGGGGTCGACCCACTGCTTGTAAATGAAACCTTTACAAATTGCGTGCGTCGAAACGCTTTTCTAGATTTACCTTCATCATGAAAGCTCAAACGAAAGCAATTGAAAGTAAAGTAAGTGGTGTTCAATGAGTTTATATGCACGTTTATTACATTGACACGTATTACACTCTAACAGAGCTCATTGATTTAATCTATTTTGATGCAAAAAGATGGATCTTTGGCAGACCAGGACAAACCGAGAAAAATAATTATTCAGTTATCATTGATGGAACTCTTTATCGGTAATAGAAAAAGGCGTATCAGAGGTACGATAGAGGGAAAATTCACGGTCGCAGTACTTTAGAAATATTGTTTACAAATACTCTCGTATTTGGTATTCAACTAAGTTGAAACTTTAATCTTTATTTATGTTACCGGAACAAATGGCGCAAAATGAGTATTTATCTGTTGGTGCAAATAAAATGTGATCTTATGGAGCAAATAAAAGTCTTCATTTTTCAAAATTTTGCGCAAATGCAATCCACCTCTCTGCAGGAAAGGAATTATATAAATAATATTAAGATACTTATTTATGACGTCATTAAATTACCTGTTTACAAAAAGTCGTAGTAAAATTTTAATTGGGAGTGTAAATAGTTTTAGAAACTTAATAAATGAATTCATCGGTCCTTCTAGAAATCCACGTTCCGGTGGTTAGCAGATTGTAGATTGAAGACTTTACGGATATAAGCTATATTAACAATATAGAAATAATAATAAACTTATGCTACGAATGCTGTTAGCATTGCAAAAATTGGCGCAAATGACAAAAAAAACATGTTTAGGCGCAAATGAATTGCTGATTGGCGCAAATGGTGATGCATTCGCCTGATGTCCGTTGCATTCGAGTAGATGTTGATTGCCAATACAATCATCGAATATTTGATGCGAAACCATTATACAGGTGACAACTTACAAAAGAATTAATATTTAAACAATATTTATATTAGCATACATTGTGTGTTCATGCAAGTGAAGCTTATACTCGATCTGAGCTCCTTACCACCATGTGTCAATGTATTATGTCAAATAAGATTAAAATGATTGGTTTGGTGAAGAATCGTCAATTCATTGGGACAATCAAATACGTCATACAATGTTTAATCTTAACAATACACTTGAAGACTCTTGTAAGCTCACCTGACCCACAGGGCCAAGCGAGCTTATACCATCAATTGGCGTCCGTCGTCCGTCGTCGTCTGTCTTCCGTTAACGTTTACAAAAATCTCCTCCTCCTTGTCACCATGTGTCAATGTATTATGTCAAATAAGATTAAAATGATTGGTTTGGAGAAGAATCGTCAATTCATTGGGACAATCAAATACGTCATACAATGTTGAATCTGAATGATACACTTGCAGACTCTTGTAAGCGCACCTGGTCCAAAGGGTCAAGCGAGCTATTATCACCAATTGGCGTCCGTCGTCCGTCGTGGTCGTCTGTCGTCTCTTAACTTTTACGAAAATTTTCTCCTCTGAAACTACAAAACCAATTTGAACCAAACTAGGCCACAATCATCCTTTGGTTATCGATTTTTCTAAATTCTGTACGACGACTATGTCTTCCAATCAAAACTCGACATGGCTAAACATAGACCATAGGGGTAAAATGCAAGTTTTGTTTATTATCTAGAAAACCGCTATTGATAGGGAAAATCTGACCCGATCAATATTAAGAATGACGAGATCTACTTTCTGCCTAAGTACATCAACACTGTAAAACTGCAATTTAAAGGAGTTATTGCCCTTAAATGATGAATGTTACCATATTTTTTTTTCATTTTTTTCTTTAATCTATTAACCTAAATAGATAGAGATAAACTTTTAAAGCAAACATGACCAGCAAAACAAGATCTACAAATAAGTACTTGGCGAAAATCGTCTGTCAATTTTTTATTCGAGTTATTGCCCTTTATGACGAGTTTTGCTATTTTTTTTGCGTATTTGTCAATTAACGTGAAAACTATAATAGAAAGATAGAAACTTTGAATAGCAAAAATGATCAGCAAGACAAGATTTACAAATAAGTCAAACATGGTTTAAATCATTAGTTGATTCATTCTAGAAATTATGGCTCTTAAATGACGAGTTTTATGAATTATATGTGTTTTGCCTATTGTGTTGAAAAGTATAATAGATAAGTAGAAACTTTAAATAGCTAATCAACAAGAGTGATCTACAAATAAGTCAATAATGACGAAATAGTCGGTGATCTTTTATAGCAGTAATTGCCCTTAAATGATTTTTTTACCATTTTTTTTTTGCATTTGTGCTTTTTATCATGAAACTATAATGGAAAGACAGAAATCAAAATAGGAAAATTATCAGTAAGACAGAATGTAATAAGTTAACAGGGCCCAAATCGTCAGTCAACTCCTTATAACATTTATTGTCCTTAAATGATGATTTTACCATGTTTTTGTCTGTTATCTTGAAAACTGTAAAAGATAGATAGAAATTTTATAAAGCAAAACTGATCAGCAGAACAAGACTACAAACACGTCAACAGGACTGAAATTATCGGTTAACTCTTTATAGAGTTATTGCCCTCTAATGATGATTTTTACCAAAAAGTGGCCATTTTTTAAGATGTAGGTGAGTGACACAGGCTCTTCAGAGCCTATATTTTTTATTAGAGGAACATGTCACTTTTGGGTTTGTACCAACATGACCAAGTAGCAAATATTGGATACTTGATTAACATATGATTATAGTCTAACAATTTCTTCAAAATACCATTGCACAGGACTCAAAACAATTACATCGTATTTAAAACTGTCTACTAGAAATATAATAGAAGTAAATCCTCTACAGAAAAAAAATGCTACTTAGGAACAAGGTTTCACTTGTATTAGCCACTATACATAAGTAAAATTATCGTTTATTTGCGAATTAGTAGTTTTTAAATTTAAAATGCATTCTAGACTATTGATCGGACTTCTGGTTTCATGTAGATGATCTGATATAGAATACACACAACTAATCAGGAATAACTAATAACAAAATAGAACATTAATCAATACGATAACAGTACATTGTGTTTAAATAATTTGTTTGATTTTATAGGTAAATTGACCTGTCCTATTGGTTGGGAGTCTCATGGATTGAAATGTTATAAAGTGTCTAATCAATTGTTTGACTTTTTAAATACAAGAAAATACTGTAATAATCAAAATGCCGAGGTTATTATGCCAAAAACAGTCGACGAACAGAATATTATGAAAACGCTGCTTCGACAGTAAGTTCTTATGTCATGTTTACAAGATCTTTCTTTCTGTGAATTATATTGCATTTATATTTTTCAAATTGAGCCTTTCCCAAAAGTCATCTGACTAATAAATTTTTGAGTGCTTAATATAAATCAGAAGATGTGGTAAAATTGCCATTGACATTACTATCAACCAGAGGACAACGGACGAGGGTGTAAACAACTATGAGGTACTGTACCATGTGAAAGGGCATTCAACAAGGAGTAAAACTCATTACATATAGTAAACTTTAAAAGGTTCAGGCATGACAAAATTAGAAGCATCTAAAAAGAAAAATCCAATTGCCTGATTCATGCCTAAACAATAAGGAAAAAAAAACCATATATGACAAACAGCAACCAACGACAACTGCTGAATAACAGGCTTATGACTTGGGACAAAACTCACACAACCAGGAACAATAGTTCTAGTGCAGTGAATTGGTTCTATTTATGTTAGTATTTCAGCACAACAATTTAACAAACAATAAAACGATTTCATTTCTCAAGCAATATTTAAATGAGAGCATTGATCGGTGCATATGTCAAAAATTAAACATTGCCACGTAAATGTTCTAAACGCAAAAATAGGAGCTCCCACATGACACAAGGTGCTCCTGAAGGATTGTTTTATCAGCAAATGACAACTGTCGTGAAATTATCAACATATGAAAGCTAGTAAAACGATGAAACAGCTGAGGTTCAGAAAGTAACAAGCTTGATTTATGTCAACGAGTTGTTATGAGACCGAAATTTCATACGGATTCTTGTGCTCACATTCTTTATATGTAATACGTGATATTTTATGGCATTTGTGGTTCAAACTTCCTACGGAAAAGTCATGAAAGTTGACCGTAGTCGAATTTGTCTATACTTTTTATGTTATTTTGTGTCATATAGCTTCTCACGTTGCAGGTGTTTAAAGATCCTTTGCTTTCCAATATTGTGTTTGAGCGTTCCTGATGAAGGTTAATACAGGGAAGCTCTTCGGACGCTAGAAATTTAGAGTAATTTTCATTCAGTATATTTATCAGAGTTCGTATTGGAAAAAAGAATATGTTCCATCATAGAATTTAAATGATATATGGAAATAAACTTATTAACTAAATATGGAGCCGGTGTATGGGTTTTGGCATTGTATGAATTTCAAGCATGTACCATATAAATAAATCTTCAAATGCAATGAAAATATATCAATACAAATTTGACATTTAACGACGCAATTGAGAAACAAATTGTTAAATAATACAACCTTATAAAGTATTTATGTGATAAATAACACAAATTTATATCAAAATAGGAAGCTATAGCATGATTGTCATCGATTATCTATGTCGGTTATATTATAATTTGATCTAAGCTGTCTAACTCAGTTGTAAAAAAAAAATACTGGCAGGCACAGCTTTGTCCATTGGTCTTTGACAGATAGTTGTATGATTGCCAATCGTACCACATCTGCTTTTTTTTTATAAAGCATGTATTTGAACTGTTTGCAAGGAAAGGTTGAGAAAAAAAACCTGTTCATTTGCCCTCTCCTTGTTTCGATGCCTATGCATTACGTAGTTAACATACACTTTAAGAGGTTGTCTTACATTAAGGCATAAAATTGATACAATTAACAGGGTAAACAGAAATGATGAATGGTATGGAATTTGGATTGGACTTACCGTTAATGAATCTAAAGGAACATGGATTTGGAATGATGGCACAACACTTGATTCTGCAAATGTGGCCTGGTATACTGGTAAGTATGTTATATACTTAAAATATAAATTAATAGATTTGACATTACAATAAAACACATGAACTTATTTATTTCATCAAGATTGATACCAATAAGAGGTTTTCAAGAAACGTCTGAAATAAAGTAAATACGTTAATCCAGTAAACATGGTAAACGCTTAGTAAGGGATCATAGATTTATTCTTACGAGGAAGCTCCGAGCATGCTCGGAGGATGCTCGGAGCTTTTTAAGTAGGCTCTTCTCAGCAGTTTATGTGACAATAATTATCATGATTCATTAAAATGTCAATCAAATCTATATCACTTTTATAATAAGTAAAGTAGAGCATTATAGAGGAAGCTCCATTAGCACCTGTGTAAACATCTGGTCTATGCAAACACATCTTGCATTAATTTTACAAAACTATAAAATAGATGAGAAATTCTTCAGTATAACTGTACAATGCTTGGTATCCAGTCTTCACAGAAAGAAAATGATTTTAAAACATTTTCTTAATAATTATCATTCTTTTTCAATACATATTATACAAAAAAACACTAAAATTGTATATTTGAAATATAAATATATTTCAAATTTATACTATATAAAATGAAATATAAAAGTCATCAAAGACACCATACTACCAAAACATAGTACATTCAGTTTCATGCAAAAAAGGGTTGATCTTTTTTCATATTCTATTTAATTTGACAGTTGTTTGAAATTAACCCTCCATTTCATTGCAGAAAAGTTTTTTTGAGTCATAAACATGTTTCTTGGGTGTTTCAAAGCAATAAAAATATACTATATTCTACAGGGAAAAAAGGGAGAGAGAATTTGATTGGTTAACTTCTGGTGATGTTTACTTTCTTATATGCACTGAAAAGTTATGCTATATTTTCACTGTAGTACAGGACATTTATTTATGTCAAGTATTACTTTATTCAAAACATAGATAAATTCTGCACATTTTTTTGAAATATAACAATCATGACAATTAAAGACTTATAGGGGAAATAATTTTACTCATGCCAAGTATTTTTTTATTTAAAACAAAGCTAAATCTGCACAATTAAAAAAAAATGCCAAGTAAAGAGAGACGTACTAGAGGGAAAACAATGGTGGTATTACCCCCTCAAACCAGGATTCCATTAATGAATTACAACTTTTCTTAAAGTAGCCATAATTTTCTATAAAAGAACTTAGTTTGCTATTTAAAAAAAAAAACATTACCATTGTTTAGTTAGGGGCATTACTTAAACAAGTAATTTTCAAAATTACCTTTACAAGTTATGTTGAAAACGAGGCTGTTTCAAATATTACTTCTATATCATGAATAAGTAACTTCTGTTAATATTATTTTAATAGGTGTCCATTCATACAGGTTTTACTAGCTTTAACAAATTTTCACAGACATCTGGTTATTTTCCCCATGAAATATACTGGTAAATCTATTTAAATCCTCAACAAGCACTAATTGCTTTTCTGATGCCACACTTCTTGGTCAAAGATTGGCATCTTGGGGCTATTAAAATATCATTTCCCCTTAAAATCTTAGAGACAGACAGTTATACCTAGATATGGAACCTTTAATTAAGACTTGAAGTTATTTATAATTTGAATCTTAATCAAAAGCAATTACATATATTCCTTAAATAATTGTAAGGACTAAGTTTTTTGACGTTGTATAAAATAATTTATTAATTTAAAAGTAATATTTTTGTCATTATTTTCTAAAGTAACCTCTCTATACTCATCTAAAATTGGATAAATACTTGTTTATTTATTATTAAATGAAATGATATAAAAATTCTTAAAAACTACATTTAGTCCATGCTTTATTTGACATTTTAAATAACTATTGAGTTATTAATTTTTAAAAACAAAAAATACTTATAAAAGTGACTAAAACAATTACTTGTTTAGTATCGCCACATGACTTGTTTGTGTCTTGATAACTTTTATGTAACATATTATATCATATAAATTATTTTTAAATCATATCATTTAATTATAAAATTTGAGAATTTTTGTATTATAAAAAAAGGAATATTTATTAAACATAATAAGAAAATATTTAAATGACTTTTACTTTTTGTGGGGACTTGAGATTTCTTTCCAAGCATTACACAGCACTGTTGAAGAATTTCTGATCTATTTTATAGTTCTGTAAAATTTCATGCAAACTGTATTTGAATAGACCAGATGTTTACACAGGTGTTTATGGAGCTTCCTCTATAATCCTCTACTTTCCTTATCATAGAAGTGGTGTAGATTTGATTGACATCTTAATGGATCATGAAAATTATTGTCACATAAACTGCTGAAAAAGAGCCTACTTAAAAAGCTCCTAGCATCCTCCGAGCATGTTCGGAGCTTGCTCGTAAGAATAAATCTATGATCCCTAACTTTTTTAGCCTAATAAAAACAGTAAATTTCATATTTATCTGTCCATCTTAACTAATATAACATATATCTGAAAAAAATATTTGCCATGACACACAATAAAATGAAATTTGCATATAAAATCAAAAGCATATTCTCTTCACACTTTACTTGATTTTTCTGTGTTTTGTTGTTTTGTTATTTTGAATTTAAATGTGATTGCAATTTGATATGTTATAGTCTGGGCTATTCTATGTCCTAAACACTCGTTTTATTGCAAACTTTGTCACTTGCACATTTAAATTGGAAAATTTTTTAAGGTTGGACAATACACATTTATCAATCCGCAACTGTATAATGCTGTGGTATCGATATGGCTTATCATCGGATTTAAAGGAACAAATACTCCTTTTTGAACATTTGTGTTTCGTCGGGTTCGTAATGCTTATTTTGTTCTATATTGCCTTTTCTTTTAACATAAGAATGTTTTATTGAATAATATTGAACTTAACAAAAGGGTGTAACTATTCGAAAATATGAAAACGCATTCTTTTACAATTGTAAGTATCTTTAAGAATGCTGTTCACCTGCATGAAAGAATTTTTTCTTATATCTAAGACCATCAGAACTGCATTGCATTTAATTTTTTTCTCTGATACACTAAGCATCAAATAAAAAAACCTTCCATAAAGTCATAGAGTTTGTCATGCAGTCCCTCATAAATGAACAAGTATATAGTCGCTTATATAGAATGGTTTGAACTTTGTAAATTTTGCTATTTTATGTAGCGCTATAGGAACTGAAGATCCCGAAAAAGTATATTCTAAAAAAATGAAACTTTGATGTTTATATATATAGAAAAACATGTAATTAGAATTCTGTTTTTTTTTAATTTTGTGTGCTGTTTTTTATGTTGTGTTTATGTTAATTTTGAGTTTATGCTTGTTCAGTAAATGCAAGACACTTGGCGCATTTTTTCGGGTATGAAAGTGAGCATGCGATGCCGATGTCATGGTAATTGGAATTGCATAGCGGTTATTTTCTACTTCCTATTGGCATTATTTTACTTCTGTTTATTCTAGTTTTTACTGATTGAGACTTTAGATTTTGTAACTGTCTTTTGTATATAAAAGATCAAACCAATGGCCTCAAGATATGTTTGGCATAATGAATAGACAATTGTCCCCATGCATTGTATATTCCTATTTACAGTGTTACGGTCTACCCATGTTGCAAAATCATTAGTTTTATATGCGGTGTTTTGATGACTGATGTATGTCATTTCATATTTTTGAACCCCCACAAACCAATATTGGTGGTATATAGAAATCATGCTGTCCGTCTGTTCATCTGTCTCTCTGTCTGTCATTATGTCTTGTAAGCGCAACTCCTCCTGACGGATAGACTGATATTATTGAAACTTTCTACTGTTACGGATGTGCATAAAGGAATCTTATCCCGGTCATACATGTTAAAGGGGGAATTATAAAAATTGCAGGGCGGGTGGTATCCTTTTTTTCGAGTTCACTCACGGTTTTAATTTCTTTTGCTGTTGTCTACCATCCTTTTACTGATGATTTTTGATTGCATCGTTGATATCTTGATATTTCTAATGAAACAATCATATCACTTTGATATACAATGTGGGCAAGCTAAAAACTAAAATAAACTTAAAAGGAGAGTATATCCTTTTTCCTATTGTAAAGATCCTTTATCTGTGTAGCAACATTCAATTAACTAGCTCCTTCATATAGAGTAGTAGCTCCTAGTAGATACAGTATCTAAGAACGTATGCAGCTCCAAGTTTATACAATATTCAATAGCTAAGGATTCTACCAGATGCCAAAATAATTTGGTTTTGGATAACCTTTGACAGAGACGGCAACGGAGATGGTCCACAAATCAAAATCAAAATAACAATCCCAACATTTTTCTGTCGATTGTGACATCACCGAAAGCGACTTGTCATTCGCATGACGGGTGATGCATGCATGGCAGGAGATGCATACCCTGTCGACGCACCTATATTCTTTTTTTTGGGAGTAAATGTAATTTCATCAGGTTTGTTGATAACTTTGATTTGCATCTTCCTGAATAATATATGAGATTTGAACTCCGGTTAACTATTATTGCGACAGTGTATAATTTATTACCCAATTTAACTTGGCATGAACATCACAATGGTGCAAATTTTCCAGCTGAAACTTGATTATCTCTCCAGAAAACCTTGTAATTATGAGCTCACCTTCGGTATTTTCAATGGAGTTTGTGCTGTTCTATTGTTTTTTTTCTGCAAAGGTTTTTGTAGATTGTTGCTTGATTTTTCGTCGTATCTCTTTTGACCATCAGATTGTTTGTTTTTCGTCGACTAATGGTTTTTGATAGCCTCATGTTTTTCTATTAAATCCTTAAAACGTTTTATTCTTATTCTTTTTATTACCAATTTATATTCTTCATTCTTATTTTACATGGAAAAACAAGTATCTACAAAAAACGTGAATATGGCGAAAACTATTGGATGATCCCTTTGAGGAGTTATTGCCCATAAGTGACGACTTTTTACTAACATTTCTGTTTCGGCCAATTTTCGCCAAAATTTAACATGTAATAGATAGGTAGAAGCTTTGAACAACCAA